CCCCACGAAATGTGAGTTACTGTTTTAGGAGAGTTTGTGTGGGATTTCACGGAATTCGGTGAGGTTTTGATTCTAAAACTTGGTCTTTTTTCTCTTGCAGCATGCAAGTCACGGGGATCTAACCTGCGTGTGCACTTCAAGGTAAGGAGTGCGTGATTAGCAGGAATTGCAAATTAACTTGCTGTTTTGCTTTGTTTTTTGTTAGTTTTTGTTACTATTTTTTTAAAAAATCCCAGACTGTCTTGGATGGAAAGGGATTATAAAGATATTTCCTTCCACTCTCTGCCGTCGTTAGGGATTGAACTCCCATCCAACCTGGCCTTGGCCACTGCCAGGGATCCAGGGGCAGCCACAGCTGCTCTGGGCACCCTGTGCCAGGGCCTGCCCACCCTCCCAGCCAGCAATTCCTTCCCAATATCCCTTTTTTTAAGGAAGTGTCTTTTACTCTAGTCACTAAAGATTGCTGTTAGCTGTTCGTAGTGGTATCCATCCACAAAAAAAATTTAGAGTCTGGATGCTAAAATTGTTCTTGTCTACTTCAGATAACAAAAAACAGCAGCAAAACAGTTGGGTTGAATTTATCAGAAGCTGAGCTTGCGTTTGGTGTGAAATTTGTCTCATTTCTCATATTTTTTGTGGTGTTTGGCACAAAGACCTCTGTTCTTCTGGAAAAAGCTTAGTTGCAAAAAAGAATTCAGAAGTGTTATTTAATCACAAAACCAGAACTTAGAGGATCATTTTCTTCTTTTTGTAATATGGGGTTTTCACTTTCGTTTCCTTTTGTTATCAGGAACAGGTAGGATTATATTAGAGCTGGTTTTCACAATTAGTACATGCTGTTTAGAAGACTGATCTTTTATCCTTTTTATTTCTGAGCCTCTTCTTCTCTTACGATTCCTTCAGAGAAAATAATATTGCTAAGAATTGTCCCAGTGTTTCTTCATCCATTTCTGTGAGGTGCTGTATTTGACTTTTTAGTAAGAATTTATACATCCAGATCTTGCTTTTTTTAGATAAGTGACGAAAGAGCAGCTATGAAAAGTATAAGTACTTAAATTAAAATTTTATTAAGAGTTACAAATTTCCTTGTTGGATTTAGCCACCAGCTAAAACAAAAAAAAAAACCAAAAAGTGTGCTGGAGCCACAGATTCAGTCATACCAAGGGTTAGAAAAGTGGGTAAAAAAGAAAAAAGGTGTTGATTATTTTTCATTCTTCGACTTGGGTCTTTTTTGGTAAAGTGCTTCCTTTGTAGCCAAAATAACTGTATCGGGGTAGGACAGAGGAGTGGTTGTGCTCATGCTGTGTCTTGGAAAGGTTTGTTCAGAGGATTTTTTCTGTGCCTTGTGTCGGCAGAACACCCGAGAGACGGCGCAGGCCATCAAGGGCATGCACATCCGCAAGGCCACCAAGTACCTGAAGGACGTCACCCTGAAGAAGCAGTGTGTCCCCTTCCGGCGCTACAACGGCGGCGTCGGGAGGTGCGCCCAGGTGAGCTCCTGGGAAACGTGGCAAGGAGCCTTTGGCTGTGGGTGCTTAAGGGAAAAAGGTGATGTAGAGATGGTGTGGATGTAGTGTGTCACTGCTGATGGTGAACTTGCATAAAAGCACAGAATCACTGGGTGGTTTGGGCTGGAAGGGACCCCAGAGCTCCTCTAGCTCCAGTACCCTGCCATGGACTGGGACACCTTCCGGCAGACTGGGTTGCTCAGGACTGAGAAAAGAGTGATTATTAATTCCAGAAGATGTATCTGCTTGGAGTGTCTGCATCTAGCTGGCAGCATCTAGTCAAGGAATTCAATCTTGCTGGGTTTGTTTGGTGCACAGCAAAATAGAATAGGTTATAATGCATTTTAATCCATAAAATACGGGGTCCTCAGCACAGGAAGGACATTGATCTGTTAGAGAAGGTCCAGAGGAGGCCACGGAGATGCTGCAGGGCTGGAGCCCCTGTGCTCTGGAGCCAGCCTGGCACAGCTGGGGCTGCTCAGCTGCACAAGAGAAGGCTCCAGGGAGAGCTCAGAGCCCCTGCCAGGGCCTGAAGGGGCTCCAGGAGAGCTGCAGAGGGACTGGGGACAAGGCAGGCAGGGACAGCACACAGGCAATGGCTTCCAGTGCCAGAGGGCAGGGCTGGATGGGATCTTGGGAAGGAATTGCTGGCTGGGAGGGTGGGCAGGCCCTGGCACAGGGTGCCCAGAGCAGCTGTGGCTGCCCCTGCATCCCTGGCAGTGTCCAAGGCCAGGCTGGACAGGGCTTGGAGCAGCCTGGGACAGTGAAAGGCGTCCCTGCCATGGCAGGGGCTTGTGCTGAATCAACTTTAGGGTCTCGTCCAGTCCAAACCATTCTGTGATAATGGCAAGTTAAAGGTGTATAAAAGGTAACTTAAATTGAGTTGGACCAGGCCAAAAGCAGGACTCCCATTGTTGTCCTCTCATTCCAGGCCAAGCAGTGGGGCTGGACACAGGGTCGCTGGCCCAAGAAGAGCGCAGAGTTCTTGCTGCACATGCTGAAGAATGCAGAGAGCAACGCTGAGCTCAAGGTGGGTGTAACTGAGCACAGAATGGTGGTGTCATGCTCTCTGCCAGCTCCCCTGGTTGTCACTGACCTGGAGAGCCACTTACTGCCTGCTTTGTCCACAAAACTGGATTATATGGAGGCTTTGGTATGGCTCCCTGTTGAAAGCAGGCTTTATGTGTTCTTTAAAATGGAAGCAACAAATTTTTCGCAGGGTAAAACTAAATTAATTTTTTTTACACAAAAAGGCTATTCAGATCTCCTGAAATCTGTAAACTCTTGGTCAGTTGCTGTCTTTGTTATAGTGCTTAGCTAGGCAATTTAAAAACAAGCATTATTAGCAGTGTTGGAATAACAGATGATTACCTATTTTTGAGTAACCACAAAATAACCATAGGCAATGAGCCATCAGCATAATTGTAAATTATTTGTGATTTTAAATGGCGCTTGCTTTGGTAAGTCCCCATCTCCATGACACTGCCAAGCTCAGCAGTTCCATTGGCAGATCCTGGGGCAACCCTCAGCTCCATGGCATCACCAAGCTTGGCTGTGTCAGTGGTGAATCCTTGGAAAACCCTCAGCTCCATGGCATCACCAAGCTTGGCTGTGTCAGTGGTGAATCCTTGGAAAACCCTCAGCTCCATGGCATCACCAAGCTTGGCTGTGTCAGTGGTGAATCCTTGGAAAACCCTCAGCTCCATGGCATCACCAAGCTTGGCTGTGTCAGTGGTGAATCCTTGGAAAACCCTCAGCTCCATGACACTACCAGCCCTGGCTACTTTGACCAGCAGTAGTGTCTGGGGGGGTTACTCACATTTGTGCTGCAGAGGTGAATTATTTAAAAGTCGAGAATGGGTCACAGATTTTGTTCCTTGTGGCAGGGTCTCGATGTGGACTCCCTGGTCATCGAGCACATCCAGGTGAACAAGGCTCCCAAGATGCGCCGGCGCACGTACCGGGCCCATGGCAGGATCAACCCCTACATGAGCTCCCCGTGCCACATCGAGATGATCCTCACAGAGAAGGAGCAGATCGTGCCCAAGCCAGAGGAGGAAGTTGCCCAGAAGAAAAAGGTACCACATGTCACATGCCGTGTTCCTGTAACGCTGTTGGGAGAGCTGAGAGTCTGGCAGAGAAGAAGGGTTGCTGTGATGACTATCTTAGGACACCTTTGGAATGCCCATGAAAAAAATACAACCTTTTTCTGAGCAACCCCGTTTTATAATTTTCAACACAGGTCTTAAGCACTTGAGAACCCTGAAAACCGTATTAATTGCACAGAGGGTTGTTCTTTGCTCCCTCAAGGCAGCAACGGCATTCCCAGACTGTGTGAACCCTGAGTGTATGCAATAAATAAGTTGAATTTAGAGCTTGCAAGTAATGTAGTGCTTGTATGGATTCCTGTTAGTGTGGAAGTGTGGTGACTGATTTGTGAGAGAATTTCTAACAGTTCTCAGCACTTCTAAAAGATAACTTTGGGATGTTTTAGGAAGTATCATTTAACCATTTTCTTCTTTCTGTGTTTGCTTCCCAGATCTCCCAGAAGAAGCTGAAGAAGCAAAAGCTAATGGCTCGGGAGTAAACCTATGTGGGCAGATGTACATAAATAAAATTTTAAAGTTTGGATTGATTGTGTTGTTCTGCTACAAGTTTTGACCTGGGCCTGGATGCTGTGGGACAGGGGCAGTGAAAATTATGGAATCACAGAGTGATATGGGTGGGAAGGGATTTTGAAGGGCATCCAGTGCCACCCGCTGCCATAGCAGGGACAGGACACCTTCCACTGTCCCAGCTTGCTCCAGGCCCTGTCCAGCCTGGCCTTGGGCACTGCCAGGGATCCAGGGGCAGCCACAGCTGCTCTGGGCACCCTGTGCCAGGGCCTGCCCACCCTCCCAGCCAGCAATTCCTTCATAATACCGCACCTACAAGCCGTGTGTTCCCGCGGGGCTGCCGGTGCCGTCGCACAGTTCCCCACTCCCAAATCCCGGATAATCGGGAATCTTGTCCCTGTTCCCGCGGTGGGGGCGTGGCCTGGCGCGTCACGTGATGCGCGATGCCTCCTGCCATTGGCCGGAAGCACCGCCCCGGAAGCGCGGGGCCGTTCCGGTGCGGGCGCAGGTGGGTGCGGAGCGCCGGGAGCACCGGGAGCAGGGAATGATCCCTTCCCCATATCCCACCTTACCCTACCACCCACGCCCCGCCGCATTCCGCCCCGCTCCGCACGGCCCGCCCGCACCCGGCGCCTCCGGTAACCGGGGGCCCACGGTACCGGCCCAACCGCCCTCGGAGAGCTAACGGCAATGCCTGGCATTAGCCACCCTCCTGGACTGGCTCGTCCTTTATGGAAAACGGGGAAAGCTCGGCGGTTTGCCCGTGTAGCGTTTTCCGGCCGCTGGTAACACAGCCGTGCCGTGCCGTGGCGGGATTTGCCCGTCGCTTTCCTGGCTGGCCCAGCGCCTGGGGGCTCACGGGGACCCGCAGCACCGCCCGTCACAGAGAACAACCCCCCGGTTACTGTCCGACCACCTCCTCACTCTTCTCTTTTCCTTGCCGACCAGGTGGAGGAGCATCACCAAGTGCCGGAAGGAATTGTTCGGGACGGTGTTTTACCCTGATCCCGGGGATCGCTGCTGCATCGGGCGCAGGTACGGGTGGTGTTTTGGTCAGGAATGGCAGCAGAGGCAACGCAACACGTGCTGCTTCCCTAGGGAAACAGGGAGGGACAGCACACAGGGAATGGCTTCCAGTGCCAGAGGGCAGGGCTGGATGGGATCTTGGGAAGGAATTGCTGGCTGGGAGGGTGGGCAGGCCCTGGCACAGGGTGCCCAGAGCAGCTGTGGCTGCCCCTGGATCCCTGGCAGTGTCCAAGGCCAGGTTGGACAGGGCTTGGAGCAGCCTGGGACAGTGGAAGGTGTCCCTTCCTGCCCATGGCAGGGGATAGAAGGAAATTATTTTTAAGTTCTCTTCTGACCCAAATAATTCTGTAATTCTGTAATGATTCTACAGCCGGAGGTGTTCCCTGCAGCCACTTTCTACAGCTGCTAGATGAAGCCACATCTTGCTGGAAGTTTAATATCTGGGAAGTTCTGGTGGAGACAGCATATAAAATATTTTTTTTAATAAGTTTAAAGGATTAACTCATTTGTGTTGTCTCAATTTAAGATTCCTCTCAGACTTCACAGAGTAAATTTAAACTATGTTTATGTGTTCGAAGCAGCGAGAAAAGAACCTGGAGATAGTCAGCTGGAAACTGATACTCTGTTTTTCCACAGGGCTAAAAATCTTCAGGATAGCACTAAAAAAAACCAAAACAGCAAAACTGGTCCCTAGTGAAGTGTGCACATCTGCCTCTTCATTCTCCACTTGGAAAGCTTTTGTTTTGCTTCTTGGTGTGAGAATTGAGATGTCAGCAGCCTAGAGCGGGGGACTGTGAAGGGCAAAGTTGTGTGGCAGCAGAGTGTGTCTAATACATTGCTCATCAGCACTGGCACAGGTCTAGTCCTAATTAACTGCTTCCTCTCCCAGCTGGACCTCTCTGACCTCTTGCTTTTCTGCATTTTATTTTTTTTTTTTTTTTGTTAGTATAGATTCCAAGGTGTGAATTTTGAAGACTTGTGGGGTTTCAGAGAGAGAGCATGGTTCATTTTCTAATAGTTTATTGTATGAGGTTGGTGTGGGATTAAGTGAGGGCAGGAGGAAGAAAGTAACTCATATTCTAATTCTCTGAAATCCTGATTGGAATTTTTTTCCCCTTTCCCACTGTCCTGCCCTTCAGTGGGATGAGATGGATTGGTTTTCTGCTGTCTAATCTCTCCTTAAATAAAAATGGATTGAGCAAAACAAACCCACTGGACTCTTAATATAGCACGAACTGGGCTAATATTGGCAGATTGCTGCTTAAAGTGTTTTCATGTGGTTTAAGCAAAAACTCTTATTTCCCGAATTTTTTTTTTCTTACTTGCGTCTGTAGCACTGATGAATTAATATCAAATTGGCTTTTTTTGTTTTTTTTTTTTTTTTTGTTAAAATGCCAAGAACGTTCCCTTTATTGGAGACTTTATAACATTGGAACAGATAGCGTTATTGAAATTTTAGCGGCTGATTTATAATTCAAGAATAATCTACGTTTGAACATCAAACAGGGTTTTTTATTTACTATGTAAATACCGTTTTCTCAGCTTGTGGCATACAAACGCTGCCTAAACCCTAAGCTGTTTTTCCCCCCATCACCATTTCCCGGCGCAGGAGGGAGCCATGGTGTGCATTCCCTGCATCGTGATCCCCGTTCTGCTCTGGGTCTACAAGAAGTTTGTGGAGCCCTACCTCTACCCGGTGATTGCCCCCTTCATCAAGCGCCTCTGGCCCAAAAGGGCTGTGCAGGAGGCATCAGACACCAAGCAGGGGCCAGGAGGCAGCGCTGGGGGTGCTCAGGGACCTGCGGCCGCCAAAAGAGACCAGGAGGATGCATCTGGAAGCCATAAAGTAAGATTAATTCACCCAGCTAAGCAGGGGAGCTCCGGGATGAGCCACCCAGTGGCAGCTCAGGGCAGGCACCACAGGAGGGTGAATAATTGGGTGTGTTTACAGATATTTTGGTGTCTGTTTTCTTAGAAATTTTGCCACTGCTGTGCCAGCTAGAAATAGTTGCTTCAAGACAGCTTCTGGTCTCGGAGGAATAGGAATTGTGCCTGTACCCTGAAATAGCTTAATTAATTTTTTTTTTTACACAACTGGCTGGTTTTTTAGAGAAGAAAAAGTCAAATATTTGGTAGATCACAACAGATGGATGAAGCAGAAATTTAAAAAAGCCCCTCTCTTCAGCCAGCTCTGCCACTCATTATGGGGGAGGATGCTTAGTGCATGTAAATTATGCTTTTATTATTTATCTTCTACCACAACGCAAAGACTTGTAAATGTTGTCACTGCCCTCATTCCTCCCTTCCACCCGAAGCAATTTGTAAATCTATACAGACACCACCACTTTTGGTTCTTGCTCCATATTTCTGGCTAGATCTTTACTGACCTTGCTTTTAAAAGCCATTTTTGTCATCAGCTGTTCCTGTTTTAGGTGAGAAGTTCTAATTTGACATCTCATTAATGACACTGTTCTTTATTTGCAGGCTGAAAGCAATGGCATTGCAAATGGAAGTGCTGTAAAGAGATCCACAGCCGTTCTTGACAAGAAAACGGCTTAAATGAGTTAATTCCTAAGGATTTTATTCCCTCATGTCCAGTATGAACTGCTGATATTCCTCTCACTTTGAGACCTTTTTCTTTGCACATTTTAGCTGAATAAAAAACTTTATTGCTTGCAGGAGAGATTCTCTTTTGCCACTAAAATGGCAGCTGGCTCATTTGTTTATTTAAAATATTTGAAAGCTGAAGTTTTTGTATTTTTCTCGCTGAAACTACTTCTCACCTGCCATCTGTTTGGTGTGATTAGAGTTTAGGTTAAATAATGTAAAAATAAATCTATCTATGGAAGGTAAATGTATCTTAGCATCTTGATGTCACTAAGTGCTAGTGCAATACTTGAGGCTTTCACGGTAAAGGCTTTATCTGTTCTTGGTGAAGAACTGTGGACTGCATTGTGACAACAAAAGCTCATCATTTGTCTATGAAGAATTTAAATTTTTCATGTCAAATCTGTGGATGGGCTAAAGGAGTTATGCTACATACAAAATTTAATTAGCTTACTAAAAGCAGAAAGTCGTGATGTGATACTTCCCTTAATTATTTTCCTTGAAATATTATGCCTTTTTTTTTCCTGAAGAGGAGCAGCAAAGGCATGATGCAAGAGAATGTTGCTTTATGTTCTGTTGTAGTGATTTAAAATGGTGCAGTTCTGGCTTTAAAAAAAAAACCCATGTCCAACTAAAACCTCTTTACCATGCTTGTGGAATTTTCCTTATAATAAACCCAGATTTTACAAAGATAAGTCGCTTCATGCCATTATTACACAGAACCACAGAATTCTTAGTGTTTAGAGCTATAAACACTTGAAGTGGTGACAAAATCTTTGAAAACCTGGAGACAAGCCCCAGGCAGAAAGAGGTCCTAAAATAGCTGAGGTCATGATAAAGTGAACTGGGCAAGCTTTGACTTCTGAGAAGATGGATTCTGCTGCTGACTTGCATCCCACCTGTGAAGGGTTTTATGTGTCCCTGTGCTTAGTAAGAAACAGAAGTGGTAATTCCTGATTTTTCCTGTCTGCCAAACTAGAGAGCTCTTCTAAAGATTCAAAATGAAACCATTCCAGAAGTTTTGGATTGTTCGTTATGATTTGACTTCCCTTAAATCCTCCCTCAGGCAGGCCTAAAAATGCACCTTTGTTATACAGGCAGTCCTTGAACTGTCACTGTGGTCCAGTCTTATCCTTGTGACTGTGATTTCTCTCACCAGTTAATTAATTACTCGGGTATCTAATTTTGCCCAGTGCCCCTGGTGAGGTGCCTCGTTTGCTACCAGTGCCTGGTTTGGTCAGACGTGGTGTGAATTGATCTGCAGCCTTCACAGATGTGCCCCTGTAGCCACAGCCATGACACTGCAGTGAGCTCAGGCACAGACACCTCCATGTGAGACCTTCATTAATGCCATTTGCTCTTCCTTAACGAGTGACTCTGTTCGGACCTGAGTTTGGAATTGCTCTTTAATCAGCTCTTACCTCATCTTTGGAACACAACCCCCCCATCGGATCAGTGCATCACAGCTTCCTCCTACATCAGTGAATGCCAGGATCATTTAGGTTGGAAAAGACCATGGAGTCCCAGCTGTGTCAAATCCCCCCCTTGTCACCAGGCCAGAGGTCTCAGTGCCAGCTCCAGGAATTCCTGGGACACCTCCAGGGATGGGCACTCCAAAGCTCCCTGGGCAGCCCCTGCCAAGGCCTGAGCACCCATTCCATGGGGAAATTCCTCCTGGTGTCCACCCTGAGCCTCCCCTGGCCCAGCCTGAGGCCGTTCCCTCTCCTCCTGTCCCTGTTCCCTGGGATAAGATCCCAAATCCCCCCCGGCTGTCCCCTCCTGTCAGGGAGTTGTGCAGAGCCACAAGGTCCCCCCTGAGCCTCCTTTTCTCCAGGCTGAGCCCCTTTCNCCCCCGGCTGTCCCCTCCTGTCAGGGAGTTGTGCAGAGCCACAAGGTCCCCCCTGAGCCTCCTTTTCTCCAGGCTGAGCCCCTTTCCAGCTCCCTCAGCCTCTCCTGGGGCTCCAGCCCCTTCCCCAGCTCCGTTCCCTGCCCTGGACACGCTCCAGCCCCTCGGTGTCTCTCATCATGAACAGCCCTGGACACAGGACTGGAGGTACCTCAGTCATGCCCAGTCCAAGCTGCAGCTCTGCAGCTAAACAAGAATAGTGTTCTGACATCCTGAGCATTGCTGAAGGTTTTGTCCCTTCCGTGCTGTTTTAATATGCTGGGCATCTCATAAACAAGCCATAGTTTTAGAGCATATCCACCCCTAAACAGCTGTGAACACAACAAAAAGTAGAGCAAGAGCTCTGCTGGGGCTCCTTTAATCTGTAAACGTATTCAGTCAATTTATGAAGTCTGCATAATAAATTTTTTTTAGTTATTTCGGATATTATTACAGAAGAAAATGCATTTAACAATAACATAGACAATAAAGTGTATAGTGAATTGGACTGCTGGCTGCACCAGGCTTCCAGCTGTGTGCCAGTATTTAAACACCAGGTTGTCCGAAAAAACTGCAAAAACAAAACCAGGCAGATAATGCAAGTAAGATTACATGTTTATGGTCTCTGGAATGGTGTTCCACTGCCTTTATTAGCTGCAGTTAAACCCTAAAGTGAGCAAATTACGTCACAAAACTTTCTCTATGAGGCACTCCACTGGAAGTCCTGCCAGGAGATTTGTGTTATAACTCTCCTGCCCCTATTCTTTTTCAAGAATAGGTCAATAATCCTGTTGTGTTGTGAATAGTTAAATAAAAATCAAGTGAAAGCAAAGGCCCCAGTCTGGGCCAGAGTGCATGAGATCATCTGCTGGGATGCAGAGGAGTGCACTAAGCCTTCTTTAAGAAAAATAAGCAGGCAGATATTAAGGAAATCCTCATGTGAGGGAATAATATTGATCAATTGAGTTGAATTTAACTGAGAAAATTTCCATGTGCTCCTTACCTGCTAAAAACAAGATTTACAAAAGATTTAGGCACCTGATGGTGACACTTGGACATCTACCAGAATTTCCTAGACCAAGCAGCAGCTTCATTTACACTGAAGACTTTTACAAAATTTCAGAGCTGTCATCTTTAGGGGACCAAAGTACTGCAAATCTAGTCCTAAGTTCTGCAGCATTAAACCTGTCTGGCTTTATTTAAATACTGTTGAGGAAAGATCAAGAAATCAATATTTGAAAAAACATCATTTACATTTCAAGCATTTTTTCTGAATGGGAAGGTCTTAAAGGGATGTGGTACCTTCTATGTGTTGGTTTGCACAAGTTGCTGGATGCCAAGAAGTTAACTGAAAAATGCATTTTAAAAAATGCAAGTATATGCCAAAAATTCTTAAATAAAAATGAATTAATTTTATGTTGCTGATTATTTTGATGGGCCTGAACCTGAAAGGAAACGAAATTCTGATGTGTTAAACTGCACAGGATCAGCTGCTAGGAATGTCTAAACTGAAAATGAAATTAAATTCTAATGACAGTAACACATTATGCTGTTATTACCCAGATGTAGCAATCATGTCCCAGCTGAATTCTGGGACCTGTTGGACATGCTGCTGAGGTTCAGTCCTCAAGGTCATTCCTTCATGACTTCTGTACAATGGAGAACATTATTGCTGAAAGAACAGTGGCTTCAGAGGTTGCAGGTAAAGGAAATGAAGAGAAATTTAATTTACACTGAGATTGACTAAGACCTCCTTCAGTGAGAAATAATTCTGTTTCATTAAACTGCCTAAGACATGAAAGAAGGGATCATCTTCTTTGTGCAGTTTTCTGACTGTTAAGAGTGTGCTTGCTGAACCAAATAATTTTGTTTGCAACAGCCATTATTCCTGTTTCCAGTGAACTTGGCTGCAGTAATTTAATTGAAGAGGTCTAGGTTTGCCATGGTGATTCTTTTGTGCTAGAAATGCTTTTTGATAGTACTGCCGTATCTTTATTTCAGTGTTGTTTTAGAATCATGGAATGGTTTGGGTTGGATGGGGCCTGAAATCTCATCCTGTGCCACCCCCTGCCATGGGCAGGGACACCTTCCACTATCCCGGGTTGCTCCAAGCCCTGTCCAGCCTGGCCTTGGGATGACAGCAAAATATAAATTGAAATGTTGTGAATAGATGTATTTATATACCCACATGTGTATAAACCCATTTATAATTTCATTTATATCTAAAATATAATAATATAATATAATATAATATATTTTAGATATTATAATTTATATATTATATAGCATATATTATGAATGTTATATGTTATATATTATATTTAAATATTTATTTTATATATTTATATATTATATTGATATTTAAATATATATTTTTAATATATTTATATTTATTTAAATTTATAAACCCATTGCTACCCACAGGTAGCAATGCTTGTTTTTGGCACGGAGCTTGCTCTACAATACCTTTTTATTTTTTTTTTGGCACACGGTGTTTTACAGCCGTGCTGTTGACCACACCATTCCCATCGAGTGCTGTGTGAGCATGAGGCTCTGATAATTGATAAAAGATTCGTGTTAATCACAAAAGCATTGGGGTTTGTATAAACCAGAATACTAAGCTCTGAAGTGAAGCATGGACACTAGGTAATGGAAATTATATGATAAAATCATTCTGTTTAAAATCACCTTGTTATGTTATACTATGTTGTATTATGTTACACTATAATATGTTATGTTTTCCAAATAAGTTGTATCGGCTACCAGCTTGCGAAATCGGACTTCCCAAAAAGCCCTTCCTGTCTTTGTCTGATCAATGCTGCCTATCCCAAAAACCAGACTCCCAGAACTTCTCTGGTGGTTATCTACAAGGCCCCGATGGCAATCTGTGACTGATTATCACCCAAAGGCTTTGTGAATTTGTGGAAGGATGTTTATTCGACCAGCACTGCTTACCTGGCAAAATTATGACAACAAAACCCCAAAATTATTGATTACAACGAGAACCCACAGTATAAGAAGAGGCTGCAAACCGAGGTTGGGTGGAGCGTGGAGTGGGCAGTGACCCCTCACGTTCCCCAGCACTGCTTGCTCTTTCCATATCAAATAAAACAATCTAGATTTTGCTGAATATCGAGACTTTTGTCTCTCATTTATAACAAGGCCAAGCCCCACGCCAGGACTGTTCCTGTACCGTGGCAATGTTTACTCAGGGTTACACCCCAGTTGTGCTGTTTGCAGACGTGCTGCTGGCATGCACAGCCCAGGAACAGCGATGGGTAAGAGCCCGGATGGGGATTTCCTGTCACACACCACGTGGAATGTGGGAATAAACTCAGGACTACATTGGGAAGAGTTTCCCTTTTAATGAGTCGACGGGTGCCTTGGAAACAGCAGGTGATGGCACACTGCAGAACCCCATGTCAGAGGTTAGAATTGGAGAAGAAATGATTTTAAGCAGCACAAGACGTGGCCTAGTAAATCCTCCTGCCCTCAGACATTCACTGTTCATTCCATTTGCTGGGCTTACCTCGTGTCCTATTGAAAATGTGGGATGCAGAGTAGAGAATCAGAATGAATCGCAGAATGATTTGGGTTGGAAGTGATGTCAAAGGTCATCCAGTGCCACCCCCTGCCATGGGCAGGGACCCCTTCCACTGTCCCAGGCTGCTCCAAGCCCTGTCCAGCCTGGCCTTGGACACTGCCAGGGATGCAGGGGCAGCCACAGCTGCTCTGGGCACCCTGTGCCAGGGCCTGCCCACCCTCCCAGCCAGCAATTCCTTCCCAAGATCCCATCCAGCCCTGCCCTCT